TGTGTTCAGCTTTGTTGTAAATGTGGATCGTACGTTACAAAAAGACAAAAAGCACCTCTGTTAACTCTGCACATGAACAAGGACTGGTCCTGTCAGACAGAGGGGAGGATCTGTGCACATTACTTATATCATATAGGTCATCTGAATACGACTAAACGGGATTTCTGAGATCGTCGAGTCCACACTACAAATAGAAACAGCACTGAGTTGGTTTTGGGACCGAGCTCGTTGACCAATTGCAAATTCATCAGTAATTTCGTAATTATTCCAAATACCCATGAATCATTGCTTTGTGAGTCGATGTAGACACAGCGGGTATCGTCTCACCTCTGCTCGCTGTCCTGAGCTATTCTCATACAAAGCTCTCTTATTAGCTGTTGTTGCAGGTAGACTTTTGTTTTTCCAGAGCTGCTGGCAGAACGTGATCCAGAATAAACATTAATAATTAAATGCTTTATGATAATTCTGTTCGGGGTTTTCACTTAATTAAAAATTGCACAAGTTATAACAGGATTTCTGTTTGCATTCTTAAAGAATGAGACACACGCCTCGGACAAAACTCCGTTTACTCACTGTTTTAAGTGGCTTTTAAAGTAGTGAGCGACACACAAGAATGTTTAAACTGACCGATGCGTTGGATAAGAATAATGCTGTTGGTCCCGGAGAGGTGCGAGTGGGTGTAAGGTAAATTGCTTATGGGCAGTGATGTTAAGTAAGTCAACCACTTGGTGTTTATGTGAGTCAGTGTGGCGAGCCAGAGCGACTCTTCTGTAACTATATATGATCAAAAACAATCAGATGAAGACAAACGGGGAAGGCATCTGAGAGGAGTATAGCAGACGTGATATGTTAGGAAACGTTCCATTGGTGTTGTATTCATGTTGGATTGTCTGTTTACAGGCTGTGTAAACCTCAGGCGTCTGATGTGATACTTGATCCTATGTGTGGGACTGGAGCCATACCACTGGAGGTGAGACACAAGTCAAAGCCGTAACCTCGACCCTCACACTGACCGTAACTTGGATTTTATAAACAATAGCTGAGCAGCGAGAACCGTCAGCTGCTGCACATGTACGAGCAGCTGGATCAGGTCTTGTAAGGACTTGCATAGAATTCACTTCACTGCAGTTCAGATGACAGCTGATCAGCTTTCACCAGTGAACCTGCACCACTAGCTGCTGTGATCTGAGTTTATTTTACTTTTGTATTATTTGAGACTTCCTCCTGACTCTTGATGCTGTTTAAAAACATTTTCTGGGTCAGCAGGCGGTCAGATTCAGCAGCAACATATTTTCATTCATGCATCAGATTCTGCGTCCTCGCTGTCACATCGAACACACACCCTGGATGCTGCTACTGATGGCGATCCATAAATATCACTTACTGCCAAATCATTCAGCACCAGTTGGTACTAGTTGTGTTTTTTTCTCTTCTCTAGGGTGCTATAGAGTTTAACAGTTCCTTCTACATTGCTGGTGACAACAACGACATGGCAGTGAACCGCACGGTCAATAACATATGTCACATCCAGAAGCGGAGAGCAGAGAAGGCCAGGTGAGAGGAAGCTGCCACAGGGAGTGTGTTGGGCTGTAATGCATGATGCATGTTTAGTTGATGGTTATTGTAACGGTGCAAACTCCTTGTCTTCAAACAGCGCGTCCGGATTGCCTATTGACACGGTGCAGTGGGATCTGTGCAGTTTACCCATAAGGACCAGCTCCGTCGACATTATCATCACCGACATGCCCTTTGGGAAGAGGTACCATCATCACAGTGCTGCACGCTAGAAGGCTGATTAAACAGAATCCAGAATAGGTTCATGTTTGGCTGCCTCTGATGTAACCACAGCGGCTGGCTGGTGCACGTGGTTCAGTCCTCTGACTAGTTATGAAATGAACATCGTCCTAAACCAGATTGTGTTTCCGTCTCTGTTGTCTTGTAGGATGGGTTCTAGGAAGAAGAACTGGGACCTGTACCCGTCTTGTCTCAGAGAAATGGCTCGTGTGTGCAGACCCGGCTCAGGAAAGGCGGTCCTCCTGACCCAGGACAAGAAGTGTTTTTCCAAGGTAATGCTGCCAGCAGGATTTCAGCAAAAATACTGCAGAATGCTTCCAAGGAAAGTCAGATTACGTGTCGTGAGAAAGCATGAACAGGTTACGGTGCAAGTCGGGTCCTGCCACCAACTCCTCAATGTACCCGTTTACGGCCCGCGTACACACCAGATCACCTGTCGCGCTGCTTGGTCGCCTTGTTGTTCAGAAGCAGCACAGAACTCTTGGATTTATTGTAGTATGTTATCATCGAATGCAGAGGAAACACACTTACATTGTCCTGAGCTGTCATCCAGTCTTCACACCCCGTTTATGACAATGATGCAGAAGCAAAAAAACAACAACATCTAAGGACCGGAAACTTGCTGCGTTGTTTTGTTCCACTTCTTCAGACAGTTGTGATGACCTGAATGTTTAGTTCATGTTGTGCAGCATTCCTGGTCGGTGCAGTTTGTAAACAATGATTAATAGTTAATAATAGTAATAGTATGGCGCTGTGGAGGAAACGTGCTCCACAAATTACTGCTGTGACTGTCGTTAGAGCTGAAGTCTGTGATTGCACATTCAGATTACCAGCACGTGTCGGGTCCACTGCCCTCTTTGCCCCCAACCTGCTATCTCCCACGGTTCTGTGCACGAACTTGCACAGAACATGCTGAAATATTGCAGCGTGGATCGGCCCGGGTCCCTTAGGTTGTTTCCGTTTCCAGAACCAGTGCCGTGTGTTTTATTGATTTATTTTTGGCATCATGTAGAGCAGAGCTATTCACTGAATGTCACAAAGGGCGCGTTAGCTTAGCATCGCGTACTCCGCCTTCGGTTGCTGACGATCGCTGCACGCCCTCTGGCATGGAGCACGCGGTACAGAACAGATAAACAGTATAAGTAATACACTCCACCCAAGGACAATTGTAATGGACTGTATTGTGTCTACACCCATTTATCGTTTTATTGTTGTGCTGTTTCCACACCTCATTGAGCCTGAGACGGAGGCGTGTCCAGATTAAACTAAATGCTCTGATCTGTATATATATTTATGCAGCCGGTTGCCATGGAGCAAGTCTAAAAATAATGTATTTAAATGTTAAGTTGTTTCTATTTTAAGGTTTCGAGACAGTCGTAGCATTAATCCACTTCTCAAATATTTTTTTCAATACCAAATCGGCTTTCAGTGTTGTGCCACATTTTTTTGTTTTTTCCACATCAGTGAGATGTACCTGCCTGACATTTCAGTGATGGTGCAACACAGAAGAGTGAATTAAAGCCTACAGACACCAGTCAGCTGCCCAGTCGTCTGTCTGTCCTTAAGCTCTTTGTACTTTGAGCTAAATGCTAATGTTGGCGTGCTAGCATTTGTAATTTGCACTAAATATGAAATGCGTGTGCGACTGACGGGAATGTCGGTTCTGCAGCAGCTGTGTGATCATTAAATGTGAGCTGATGTAAACCTACATCAAAATTATGCAAATGGTCCAAAATAGTGACTAATAGCTCCGATTAGAGCGGAAAGTTACTCTGAAAACACGTTTTTAATGATTTCAAGGAGTGCTGAAGGGAGAAGCTGCAGAGATTTGAGTTCTGTACTGACCAAATGATGGTAAGAAGTTGGACCAGCACCAGTCAGGGGGTTTATCCTCTGGGAGAAATCAGGTTGATGGTGAGTGCTGAGTGAAAACTGTGAAACCGATTACAAATATATATGAAAGTGAAAACCAACCCAATAAAAAGATAAATTTACTCCTAAAAACATGCTGTAGCAGACGAGGAGTTTTGAGGAAAGGCGGTTGCATAATGTGTTTACGTAACCCGACAGTGACGGTGCTGATATAAAGACTGATTCATTCATTTTGTGTGTAAAAAACCAAACATTGTTTTAAAAGTGCTGTTTATTCAGTATCTCCCCTGTGCTTTATGAGCGTGTCCGATGCTTAAATTGATTTGTTGTCAGCAAAGAAACTGTTGTTTCTTTGATTTCCTCCTGTAAGCCTGTCGCTGTGATCCCTTGTAAATGTGTTTTTTTCTGTTTGTGTGGCTCTCCGTCGAGTTTAAACAACCTAATCTTGTCGTTCTGCTTCGAACGTCGCGTGCAGAATCGGTTTGTCCTGAAATAATCTCCGAATGATCCGGCGACGTTGGGAGTAATGCAGGTTTAAGCCCATTAAGTCACCGCATGGTGGAAAAAAAGTCTTACCAGCTGCGTTTGTCTAAACAGAGATCTTGTTTCACATAAAACAAATGTCTCATTTGTTAGTTTGCCCTCACCAGATTTATGTCATCTCCAGGCTATCTCCAGGATGGGAGGACTGTGGAGGAAGCTCCACACTGTTTGGGTCAATGTCGGGGGTTTACATGCTGGAGTCTACCTCCTCAAGCGGACCCCAGCCGTGTTTGGCCAAACTCCTGAGGACGTCCATGAATCACGAGGGGTGGTTGAAACGCAGGGAGATAAGAAGGAGGACGAGGAGGAGGTCTCTGAAACGACACCCTGCGTTTAGGTCCTGAAGAGTTTACATTATTTATATTCTCTGTACCATCTTACCTTCTTTTCTTTTTGGTTAAATTCAGGTTCTCGGGTCAAGCATGCCAAACAGTCACAGTGTATAGTTTTTTCTTTTTGTATTTTTTTATTTGGTTAAAAACTGGAAGTAACCGTCATGTTCAGCAGCAGTTTAACGGTTCGCACACTGTTTGACAAACGGCTTTAATTTGCCATATTGCAAAGAAACCTACTGAAGATTCAATCATTGCACCGCTCAGCTTCTCTGTGTTCACTGTACAGGAAGTACACCTTGATTAATAAAGCTTTAATGTGTGTGTTGATAGAAACATTCCTTTGTTTTGCCTCGGACTAATCCGCAGCACGGTGGGACGTCGCTCCTGAAAAATGTGTTTATAGATTTCAAGGAATGTTGGAGGGGAAAGCAGCGGAGTTGTCATTGTGCCGTTTCATCTTTTCTTCCATGTTTACGGACGGCTTAAGGATGCTTTTCCCTCCACTTCTTCATGTTGGACGTACAGACCAAGCAAGTGGAGGCATGTGGCGAGATAAGGAAGTATTAGTGACTCAGTTACTGTAACATTACAGTGTACGTGAACAGTGGCAGGCAGGATTATACTTCCTGTTATTAATTACCGCAAAGGGGTTTTCACAACTGGAAAAAAAAAAAAATGCTTTAAAAAAAAAACCCAACAAAAAAAACATCTGTTGTGCTGCATGTGATGAGAAATGAGTTGATAGTGTCGCTGCAGTCCAGACAACAAGTGGGACAATAATGTGAGAGTCTCATTAAGCAAAGGCTTCATTACAATGAACCTTTTACCAAGTCAGCTTCTGGTTGTTTCACCTGCTGTGATTTTAGGTTAAATGAACAGAGGAGGAGGATTCGCTCACCTTCGCTCCTCCTGTAGGTGACATTCATGTTTTGAAGACATAAAGTCACTTAATGAAGTAGAAGACGTGCGTCAGTGGGAATCTAACCTGTATTGCTTCAGCCGTGTGTCGATCAGAGTCAGTGGGTCACAGGTTAGTCATTGTTGTAGGTGACGTCGGTGAGCACAGACACTCCACGGAGGTTTACAATAACAATGCAGTCAGCCGCCTGATGCGGAGAAGACACGGTGACGCAATGGGTGCGGAAAAAAAAAAAGTATAAGAAGACACGTGAAGGTTGAACGAACTTCAGAGACTGCGGAGCGACGAGCTGAACACACGAGATGATCTGCGCCATCCTGCTACTTGCACTGGTCCTGCTGTCCGTCATCCTCACGCACAGAAGGAGGTACGTTGATTCACCTTTGTCTTCACCTCGGTGTGCAGCTGGCAGGTTTTTTCTTTACATTCTAACGTGATGCTGCTCTGAAGGAGCTGATCTGTCGTACCGACACCGTGGCGGGAATGAGGGACTGACCGCGCGTAATTACGCACACGAGTAAACCCATTTATTAGTTAATTCAGTGGATTGTCCCTGCACTGCAGAGAAAAGAAAAATGGGTTATTTCAGTAGCTGATGCGCCCAAAATAACGCCGCAAAAATAAGAATTTCATAAAAAATACCATAATTTTACATAATTAAATCTCTATATTCGTGCCTTAGTTTTACGCTCATGTGTGTGTTTTTAATCAAAGATATTTGCATCAAAAAACCAATTAAAGGAGCTATAATATATAATAGTAATATATATGATTTCATTAAATATTTCTCATTAAACAAACATATCTGTGTAACTTTACAGAACCAATTCTTCTTTTTCTGTCAGTTATCAATAAATGTCTGTCATTTTAGTGATTTATCCAGATTTTAAGCTTAAATGTGACTTTTTTTCACTGCAAATGTATAAATATGCAAGAGGACGAGGGCCACTGAAGACAAAAATAATTAAATTCTGAGATTAAAGTCAGAATTCTGACTTTTTTCCCAGAACATTAAAAAAAAAAATAAAAATCTGGGATATTTTTTTTTTCAATTTCTGAAAAAAAGTCAGAATTCTGACTTTAATTTCAGAATTTTATTTTATTTTTTCTTCAGTGGCCCTCGTCCTCTTCCGCAATATAAAGAGTCTTGATGGGAAAAAAAATCTTTTACCTAGAAAACTATTTTTTATGGTTATTCAAAGTTAAAGGTTTCAGTGTTATTTTACATTAGACGTGTAAATTGACTATTTTTCTGTTTTTATTTTCTTTTTTTTAAAGTTTGTTGATATTAAGCTTTTCAACAATCTTTGAAATGAAATTGAAATAATCTGTGAAGTTATTTATTTATTTTACGGGTTACTTCAGTTAAAGGAATGCGGTTAAACTACGTGGTTAAATTTAGAATTCTCTGTAAACTTCACACTTCAGTGAGTTTTGCTTTCTATTGACGCATCTGTGGTGCAAAGATAATCTTACAACTAATCTGGTGTTGTTCCCTTTACTTATACAACACAACAAAGTCGAGTTGTACAGACACAGATTGCTCTGTGTGCATGATGGATGGAGGACAAATCTAAAAAAAAAAAATAGGAGAAATATTTGGCAGAAAACGAAGAACCTGCATTGGATTCAATTTGTTAACTATTCACAGCACTGTGTTTAGTATTGCTCCAACCTTTCTCTCTACTGTTACAGGATAAAGTATAGATTACCAGACATTTACTGTTAAATTCACCACAGTTCATTTCTGCTTTTCTCCTCAGATCCAAGAGTGAGCCACCTCTGGACAGAGGACTGATCCCCTGGTTAGGCCATGCACTGGAGTTTGGAAAAGATGCCGCCAAGTTCATAAACCGAATGAAGCAGAAACACGGCAACATTTTCACCGTGAGTAGAGGAAATCCAAAAATGATTGAAGTCTTATGAAACAGTTTCACTTCTGTAGATTCTTAAATGTTTGGGTTTTTTTGCACTTTAAGGATTTTGTTTCCATGTTAGTGTCAGAGCTCTGTGTCAAGTGTGCAGAAAACATAGATTTTTAAACATGAATTTGTTTTGTCAAAATATTAATTCCAATGTCAAGAATACACTTTATGTATTTTCTGGAAGGCAGCTGGTGATACTGAAAGCTTGTTAATGTAAAGTCTGGACGAGCATAAGAGAAGAGAGTCCCTCTGAGTGACGCCTGATAAAGGGAAGTGGATTTTAAACCACACTTGTTGAGGGACTTTCTGCTTGTTTCTATCTTATATCTTATAATCCAGGAGAGACTAATGCTGCCTCCTCACTCTCTTACTCTAGAAGACATCTTAGATTTTTAAGGAAACGTTCATGTAAATGCATGTTGCAGATACAATCATGCAACATAAATTTGTACCAAGAAACATGATAATGTTCAGTTATCATGAATCCAAAAATAAAGGATTTTTATTTTTGAGGGGTACTACATCATTCTCCAAGATGTTTAAATGCTGTGCGGTTTAAGGAATACTGAAATCCCTCAGACGTGTCATAAAGCAGCAGAATTTGCTGAATAAATTAAACATGAATAAAGAAGAGAAATTATTGTGATGTGAGTTATGAATGAAATGAAATGAAAAATATTTTATTTATCCCAGAAGGGAAATTCAATTAGTTATCAATATTATTATCAGTTATCAACGTATTTAGTGGGTTTTTTTTTATTGTTTTGAGTGAATTTCATTACACTAAACACTCATAAATGCACCAAAGATCATTTACCAGCATCTGCATTATGTATTTAATACATCCTCTCCTGTGTGACCTACAGGTGCGCGCTGCCGGCCGCTACGTCACGGTGCTTCTGGATCCACATTCATACGACGCAGTCATCAATGACTCAAATTCTCTGGACTTCACGCGCTACGCACAGGTGCTGATGGAGAGGATCTTCAACCTGCGTCTCCCACATCACCAGCCTGCCGACGCAAAAGCACTGATGAAAAGGTATTTCTTTAAACTCCAAACTAAAAGCACTTGTGGCTCATTTTCGTTTTCATTTTATATGTTAATGTGGAAGCGAAAATGTTCATGGGAATTCCCCGAGTCATGTTTTATGATAAGTCCCACTGTGGATGTTCCTGTAGAGCACCTTTGCCATTTCTGGAAAGCTAGTTTCAAGGGTTGCAGTTTTGTTATTGCTCATTTGTTGTCCACACAGCTTGCATTTATTATGAAAGAAAACAAACATATATTCCAGAAGGATCCGGGCGCGCAGGAGGGGAAGCCTCGACAGGATCTGTTTTTATTTCACGTTCAAAAGGTTAAAGTTTGGGCACGCTGCCGTCTTCAGATTGCATTAGAGTTATGCAGCTTGCCGCTCCTTTTGTTGTGCAGCGTTCGACCAGTTATCCAGAAATCTGCTCGCTTAAGTTAACCCGAGTCAACATGCAGGTTAAATAGTGCGTCCTGTGGTAATTGCTGTGTTTACACAATGCTATCAATCAGTGTCATGTCATTTGAAGTGTTTCCTTTCATGAAACTGCAGTTTAACTTTTCTACCTTTCCTGTCCGTAGGCACTTCCTCGGAAAGAATTTGGCGACTCTGAACAGCACCATGGGCAGACACCTGCAGGTCCTGCTCAAAGCTGAGACGCCTCAGAACCAGAAAGACTGGAAAGAGGAGGGACTGTTCGACTTCTCGTACAGTTTGCTCTTTAAGTAAGAAAAGGCCCCGTCCGCCCACACACACACACACACACACACAGCAAATCCTCTCAGCTATGTCAAAAGAAGCATGTGATCATGTCATGGACCTTCAGCTAAACAGTTTACACACACGTCAGTCCTGCGGTCGTCTGTTTGTAAACGCAGCCAGAAAAATGGAGGCTGACTTCACTCGACCACAGAGATGTTCGAGGTCGCCTTTCCGCCGGACCATTCTGGCAGAGCGGACGTGAATCGAAATGTAGTCTTTCACGACAAGTACCCTCAGTAAAGGAAGGAGATAGCGTATCGTGACGCTCATCTCGAAAGCGTGCACGTGCTCAGACGCCCTGCATTCAGAGATGCTGTACGTAGGTGTGTCTGGAAAACTACCAATTGAAATTATGTGCCTTGAAACAGAAGAACTGTACGACCTGCTTATCTTTCCATCACGACAAAGATGGTTGTCATTCATCAGTCCCACTCACTCCCACACTTCTTTTTTTTTGATCTCTCTCTTCTGTGCAGGGCGGGGTATCTGACGCTGTTTGGAGGAGAGCAGAACAACAACAGCACGGATCCGTCCAGCGTCTACGAGGAGTACAAGAAGTTCGACGGCTTCTTAACCAAAATGGCGAGAGGCACGTTAAGAGCAGGTATGGATGCGGGCGGCGCCGCTCGGCTGTAAACTGTCTGAAAAACTTTCTCCAACCAGAGCAGAGCATTTACCTCTGACACAAAGCTCCGTGAGTCAGGACCCGGTCTTACATGTCATCACTGTTTACATCTGTCACTGAGTCTTTGTCAATGTGGGGTTTGACATCATCGATTCTGCCGCCTTGATTTGTTTAGCCGTTGCCAAGGCGACGTGCACTTACTCAGTTGCTTACATAGCGTCTAGGAGGTAGTGTTTTTGAAGGCTTGAGGGATTCGCGGCTCATGGTTACGGGCCTCTACAGACTGTGATCTAACTCGCGCCCTTCGTGTCACAACATACACCTTATTTCCCGAGGCCTCGTCTCTCTCGTTGTTTATAATCTTATCAGCTCCGCCCACTCATAAAGACAGCCGGCTGCAATATTTTTACACAACTCCTCCAGTTGTGCATGTCATAACTGAAATCCTGCTCCTCTCTCCCTGCAGTAGTATCTCCTCAAGTATCAAGTATTCAATTCACAGTCGCTCAACTGTTTATGCTCAGCCTGTGACTCACTTTCTGATGTTTATCTGTGTGTGACAGAGGAGAAGAAAACGGCGCTGAGTGTTCGGGAGCGACTCCTGGAGCTCTTGGCTCCGGCGGGTCTGACCGAGGACTCGGGGTCGAGCCCGTGGCTCCACCACTTCCGGCGACTCTTGCAGCAGGAGGGAACCGACGAGGAGACGCAGAGGAAGGCTGTACTGATGCAACTGTGGGCCTCGCAGGTGAGTCAGGCAACAAAGAAAAGGCGTTCCGGTGTGTGCAAAGCCAAGACTTCAGTTGGTGATCGCATCTAGAGATTAGTC